GCAAAGCTGTTTGGAGGGTGTTCAACGTGTGGCGAAACACTAACAAAAGCCAATAATCAAACATGCTTTTGCGAGTATGTGCAAATCAGCAAATTATGCTCATGCAATAAATTACTCCCTGACGCATCTTGCTTCATGTGTCCTCAACCTCCCTGAAGTTTCATACCAAAACAACAAACCACTTCCAATCCAAGTCTTTGCTCACAAACTATCAGGAAAGATTGGTTGTCATGGAAAAGTCCTTTTTCAAAAGTGCAATAATCCATGTTGCGAGAACCAAGACCTCCTACAGGATAGGGAAACGGATTCATGCTAACACTAGCAACCCAGCTCCCCTTCGATAGCTCAGTTGGTAGAGCGGAGGACTGTAGAGGTCTACGAAGTCATCCTTAGGTCGCTGGTTCAAATCCGGCTCGAAGGAAAAGCAAAGCTTCTTTTTGAAATACATGCAACTCAAGCATGAGATTAAAACCATGGAAAAGATTTGTCATGAACGGCATTTTACGCTTCAAGTTTGCCTTTGTTAAGTCAGCAGAATGCAGAACATACATGCTCACCCGTTGGCTGGATTGAATGACAAAAAGCTGCCCTCTCTGAGGATCGAACTCAGGACCTTCAGATTATGAGACTGACGCGCTGCCTACTGCGCTAAGAAGGCTAGAACAGCAAAGCTGTTTGGAGGGTGTTCAACGTGTGGCGAAACACTAACAAAAGCCAATAATCAAACATGCTTTTACGAGTATGTGCAAATCAGCAAATTATGCTCATGCAATAAATTACTCCCTGACGATCTTGCTTCATGTGTCCTCAACCTCCTGAAGTTTCATACCAAAACAACAAACCACTTCCAATCCAAGTCTTTGCTCACAAACTATCGGGAAGATTGGTTGTCATGGAAAAGTCCTTTTCAAAAGTGCAATAATCCACGTTACGAGAACCAAGACCTCCTACAGGATAGGGAAACGGATTCATGCTAACACTAGCAACCCAGCTCACCTTCGATAGCTCAGTTGGTAGAGCGGAGGACTGTAGAGGTCTACGAAGTCATCCTTAGGTCGCTGGTTCAAATCCGGCTCAAAAGGAAAAGCAAAGCTTCTTTTTGAAATACATGCAACTCAAGCAAGAGATTAAAACCATGGAAAAGATTTGTCATGAACGGCATTTTACGCTTCAAGTTTGCCTTTGTTAGGTCAGCAGAATGCAGAACATACATGCTCACCCGTTGGCTGGATTGAATGACAAAAAGCTGCCCTCTCTGAGGATCGAACTCAGGACCTTCAGATTATGAGACTGACGCGCTGCCTACTGCGCTAAGAAGGCTAGAACAGCAAAGCTGTTTGGAGGGTGTTCAACGTGTGGCGAAACACTAACAAAAGCCAATAATCAAACATGCTTTTACGAGTATGTGCAAATCAGCAAATTATGCTCATGCAATAAATTACTCCCTGACGCATCTTGCTTCATGTGTCCTCAACCTCCTGAAGTTTCATACCAAAACAACAAACCACTTCCAATCCAAGTCTTTGCTCACAAACTATCGGGGAAGATTGGTTGTCATGGAAAAGTCCTTTTTCAAAAGTGCAATAATCCACGTTGCGAGAACCAAGACCTCCTACAGGACAGGGAAACGGATTCATGCTAACACTAGCAACCCAGCTCACCTTCGATAGCTCAGTTGGTAGAGCGGAGGACTGTAGAGGTCTACGAAGTCATCCTTAGGTCGCTGGTTCAAATCCGCTCAAAGGAAAAGCAAAGCTTCTTTTTTGAAATACATGCAACTCAAGCAAGAGATTAAAACCATGGAAAAGATTTTGTCATGAACGGCATTTTACGCCTCAAGTTTGCCTTTGTTAGGTCAGCAGAATGCAGAACATACATGCTCACCCGTTGGCTGGATTGAATGACAAAAAGCTGCCCTCTCTGAGGATCGAACTCAGGACCTTCAGATTATGAGACTGACGCGCTGCCTACTGCGCTAAGAAGGCTAGAACAGCAAAGCTGTTTGGAGGGTGTTCAACGTGTGGCGAAACACTAACAAAAGCCAATAATCAAACATGCTTTTACGAGTATGTGCAAATCAGCAAATTATGCTCATGCAATAAATTACTCCCTGACGCATCTTGCTTCATGTGTCCTCAACCTCCCTGAAGTTTCATACCAAAACAACAAACCACTTCCAATCCAAGTCTTTGCTCACAAACTATCGGGAAGATTGGTTGTCATGGAAAAGTCCTTTTCAAAAGTGCAATAATCCACGTTGCGAGAACCAAGACCTCCTACAGGATAGGGAAACGGATTCATGCTAACACTAGCAACCCAGCTCACCTTCGATAGCTCAGTTGGTAGAGCGGAGGACTGTAGAGGTCTCACGAAGTCATCCTTAGGTCGCTGGTTCAAATCCGGCTCGAAGGAAAAGCAAAGCTTCTTTTTGAAATACATGCAACTCAAGCAAGAGATTAAAACCATGGAAAAGATAAGATTTGTCATGAACGGCATTTTACGCTCAAGTTTGCCTTTGTTAGGTCAGCAGAATGCAGAACATACATGCTCACCCGTTGGCTGGATTGAATGACAAAAAGCTGCCCTCTCTGAGGATCGAACTCAGGACCTTCAGATTATGAGACTGACGCGCTGCCTACTGCGCTAAGAAGGCTAGAACAGCATAGCTGTTTGGAGGGTGTTCAACGTGTGGCGAAACACTAACAAAAGCCAATAATCAAACATGCTTTTGCGAGTATGTGCAAATCAGCAAATTATGCTCAAATGCAATAAATTACTCCCGACGCATCTTGCTTCATGTGTCCTCAACCTCCCTGAAGTTTCATACCAAAATAACAAACCTCTTCCAATCCAAGTCTTTGCTCACAAACTATCGGGGAAGATTGGTTGTCATGGAAAAGTCCTTTTTCAAAAGTGCAATAATCCACGTTGCGAGAACCAAGACCTCCTACAGGACAGGGAAACGGATTCATGCTAACACTAGCAACCCAGCTCACCTTCGATAGCTCAGTTGGTAGAGCGGAGGACTGTAGAGGTCTCACGAAGTCATCCTTAGGTCGCTGGTTCAAATCCGGCTCAAGGAAAAGCAAAGCTTCTTTTTTGAAATACATGCAACTCAAGCATGAGATTAAAACCATGGAAAAGATAAAATGTCATGAACGGCATTTTACGCTTCAAGTTTGCCTTTGTTAGGTCAGCAGAATGCAGAACATACATGCTCACCCGTTGGCTGGATTGAATGACAAAAAGCTGCCCTCTCTGAGGATCGAACTCAGGACCTTCAGATTATGAGACTGACGCGCTGCCTACTGCGCTAAGAAGGCTAGAACAGCACAGTTGTTTGGAGGGTGTTCAACGTGTGGCGAAACACTAACAAAAGCCAATAATCAAACATGCTTTTGCGAGTATGTGCAAATCAGCAAATTATGCTCATGCAATAAATTACTCCCTGACGCATCTTGCTTCATGTGTCCTCAACCTCCCTGAAGTTTCATACCAAAACAACAAACCTCTTCCAATCCAAGTCTTTGCTCACAAACTATCGGGGAAGATTGGTTGTCATGGAAAAGTCCTTTTTCAAAAGTGCAATAATCCACGTTGCGAGAACCAAGACCTCCTACAGGATAGGGAAACGGATTCATGCAAAAATTAGCAGCCCAGCTCCCCTTCGATAGCTCAGTTGGTAGAGCGGAGGACTGTAGAGGTCTACGAAGTCATCCTTAGGTCGCTGGTTCAAATCCGCTCGAAGGAAAAGCAAAGCTTCTTTTTGAAATACATGCAACTCAAGCAAGAGATTAAAACCATGGAAAAGATTTGTCATGAACGGCATTTTACGCTTCAAGTTTGCCTTTGTTAGGTCAGCAGAATGCAGAACATACATGCTCACCCGTTGGCTGGATTGAATGACAAAAGCTGCCCTCTCTGAGGATCGAACTCAGGACCTTCAGATTATGAGACTGACGCGCTGCCTACTGCGCTAAGAAGGCTAGAACAGCAAAGCTGTTTGGAGGGTGTTCAACGTGTGGCGAAACACTAACAAAAGCCAATAATCAAACATGCTTTTACGAGTATGTGCAAATCAGCAAATTATGCTCATGCAATAAATTACTCCCTGACGATCTTGCTTCATGTGTCCTCAACCTCCTGAAGTTTCATACCAAAACAACAAACCACTTCCAATCCAAGTCTTTGCTCACAAACTATCGGGAAGATTGGTTGTCATGGAAAAGTCCTTTTTTTTTTTTTTTCAAAAGTGCAATAATCCACGTTACGAGAACCAAGACCTCCTACAGGACAGGGAAACGGATTCATGCAAAAATTAGCAACCCAGCTGCCCCTTCGATAGCTCAGTTGGTAGAGCGGAGGACTGTAGAGGTCTCACGAAGTCATCCTTAGGTCGCTGGTTCAAATCCGGCTCGAAGGAAAAGCAAAGCTTCTTTTTGAAATACATGCAACTCAAGCAAAGAGATTAAAACCATGGAAAAAGATTTGTCATGAACGGCATTTTACGCCTCAAGTTTGCCTTTGTTAGGGTCAGCAGAATGCAGAACATACATGCTCACCCGTTGGCTGGATTGAATGACAAAAGCTGCCCTCTCTGAGGATCGAACTCAGGACCTTCAGATTATGAGACTGGACGCGCGCTGCCTACTGCGCTAAGAAGGCTAGAACAGCATAGCTGTTTGGAGGGTGTTCAACGTGTGGCGAAACACTAACAAAAGCCAATAATCAAACATGCTTTTACGAGTCCGTGAAATCAGCAAATTATTCTCATGCAATAACTTACCCCTGACGCATCTTGCTTCATGTGTCCTCAACCTCCTGAAGTTTCATACCAAAACAACAAACCTCTTCCAATCCAAGTCTTTGCTCACAAACTATCAGGGAAAGATTGGTTGTCATGGAAAAGTCCTTTTTCAAAGTGCAATAATCCATGCTGCGAGAACCAAGACCTCCTACAGGACAGGGAAACGGATTCATGCTAACACTAGCAACCCAGCTCCCTTCGATAGCTCAGTTGGTAGAGCGGAGGACTGTAGAGGTCTCTGAGAGTCATCCTTAGGTCGCTGGTTCAAATCCCGGCAAGGAAAAGCAAAGCTTCTTTTTGAAATACATGCAACTCAAGCAAGAGATTAAAACCATGGAAAAGATAAGATTTGTCATGAACGGCACTTTACGCCTTCAGTTTGCCTTTGTTAAGTCAGCAGAATGCAGAACATACATGCTCACCCGTTGGCTGGATTGAATGACAAAAGCTGCCTCTCTGAGGATCGAACTCAGCACCCTTCAGATTATGAGACTGACGCGCTGCCTACTGCGCTAAGAAGGCTAGAACAGCAAAGTTGTTTGAGAGGTTTAACGTGTGGCGAAACACTAACAAAGCCAATAATCAAACATGCTTTTATGATATGTGCAAAATCAGCAAATTATTCTCATGCAATAAATTACTCCCCTGACGCATCTTGCTTCATGTGTCCTCAACCTCCCTGAAGTTTCATACCAAAACAGCAAACCTCTTCCAATCCAAGTCTTTGCTCACAAACTATCGAAAGATTGGTTGTCATGGAAAAGTCCTTTTCAAAAGTGCAATAATCCACGCTATGAGAACCAAGACCTCCTACACGATAGGGAAACGGGATTCATGCAAAAATTAGCAGCCCAGCTCCCCTTCGATAGCCTGTAGTTGGTAGAGTTTGAGGTCTGTAGAGGTTCACGGTTATCCAGGCTCTGCTGGTTCAAACCGCTCAAGGAAAAGCAAAGCTTCTTTTTGAAATACAT